TTTCGTCATATAGTTATACAAAATAAAAATGTGTGTAGAATTTTGGTTGTACAAAATCAAAGTTATTTAACGTCTAGAAAGAAAAGAACATCTTCGAATTTATCGAAACTGTTTATTTAAAAAATTGACAGTTTTTAGAAATGTTTTTATTACTGTTGTCTAATAACATAGATATTTTTATAGTCAAGTATTATAAGTACTTCTTCATTATGCAGCTTGTCACTCGTGAACTCGATGACTATCTGGTAATCTGTGGCAATTTAAATAAACGTTAAAAGCATTTATAATAATGTGTGTGCATATTAAATTCTAGCGATGTTCTCCTCGCGATAAGACAACGTGCGGACCCGCGTCTCACGACTCGCTCTAATGAAACCTTAAAACGCATATCAAATGTCGGTCGCCTCGGGGAGATCCCGAAGTGGATCGCGGAGGCAGAGAAAAGGACGAAGGCCCCTCGCATCCGGATACGTTCCTGTCCTGTCGCTCGTACGTCAACCCTCGTTGTTTTTTTGCTGCGCTCTTAATAATTGATCATCTGATTACGATACATTATACCCTCCCTATCCTCCCCACTCTCCCCCTTACATTCCTGCTTGAGCGTACTATCGGAGGGCATTATTCCTGCACCGAGAGAAGTGGCATCGGAACAGATAAAGAGAAAAAGAGAGAAAGAGACGGAGAGAAGCAGCAGGCGAGAGAGGGAAACTTTTTCTTTCCGCCGCGCCCGGCGACGGACGGCCATTTGCATATAGGCCCCCTTATCGACAAACACACCGGGGGCGCCCTTCGTAATGAGGGCCCCCTCCCTTCGTTCAACGTTCCTCTTTCCTTTATTTTTTTAACGTGGACCGCCATTGTCCGTTAACTCATTCGTCGGGACAGCGTGGACCAGTAGTATCTCGCTTCCTTCCTCGTTACTGCGGTCTCTCTTCTTTTCTCTGTCTCTTTCTCTTGCTTGCACTCATTGTACGAGGAACATAGTAGTTTGTGTTGCAAAAAAAAAGACAAAGAGAAGGAGAGAGAGAGAGAGAGAGAGAGAAAAGTGGAAATAACAAAACCGGTCGGTCACACGTCGAAAAATATGAATCGTACAGATAGAGAGGCGGATGCGTTGGTGCTAGTCTCTCGTGACATCTGCTTCCTGGAATAAGTATAAAAAAAAAGGGTCCAAAGAGATCTCGCGATCGTTTTTGCCGCCGTATATAATTGTAGCCGTGACAGCATTCGGATAATACCGCTCGATATCGTTTCGCGCGAGTACCGTCGGTAATGTAAAGGACCAAAAAGAAAATATTTCATACACGTAACAAATCATAATCCACCATATCCTGTTTATTTTCTCTCATTTTAGAAAGATCTTGAGAATGAAATACACAATAGCAATACGCAAAATTCCGACGTTTTACGATGAACAACGTAATGTCATAGATAATGTTGAAAAATATCTCAGGGGTTAACATTTTTTTAAAAAGTCTGATGTTGTTTCCCTAAGAGAATATCAAGGGTGATTATCATTTGTCATGATTTTTTAGTATTAGTATTAAATTTGTTAATAAATAGGATCTCTAAATAAATCTCTTTAATAAATCTCAAGAAAATAAAATTAACTTGGCATCAAGTGGGAGGTAAAGCTTTATTTACTTTATTACTTAATTTTAATGCACAAAAATTATTTTATTCCAAATATTTTTTATAATTAAACTTTTCTGCAAATTGTATCAAGTATTCAATTTAAAAACTAGTTTCATGTAAATATTTTTTATCAGAGTTTACTGCATATTTATCTTTTTTGCTTGCTGACTATGCTTGTTACCTATTATAGTACTGCTAATTTTAAGAAGCTAATTGGTTTTTAAAATTAGCAATACTAGTAAATAGATTTTACAATTAATATATGTATCGTTATCATATATTGCTAACAAAAGTATACTTACGTTTGCTATATAATGTATTCGACATCTTACAAAAATCGAAATTTCACAATTATCTGCAACTTTTAAGCATCATAAATTATAGCATATTAAATTCGAATTACGTGAAGAAAATCACAGGGACGTAAACCTAATGATTTCTCAAATCTTGAAGTTCTAATGGATCGCGTTAACGATGCGATTTTGTTTCTTAAGATTGAATGTTCATGAAACACACATCATTAAAACATATTCCCATAATAACTCATCTATAATTATACCCATCAGTAATTGTTAAGTATCATCGATCATACCTTTATCATCACGTTTATCTCTATTAAAATAAAATTAACTTGGAATCAAGCGGAAAATAAAACTTCGTTATCTACCTGCCGTCTTAATTTTGTATTACACAAAAATTCTTTTATTCTCAATATAAATATTTTTATGATTAGACTTCTTTGAAAATTTTATTAAGAAATCAAATCAATTAAAAAGTTTTAATAATATTTTTTAATCATTGAAACAATATATTCATATAACAGTAAATTGCATAATGAGAATATACTAAACTTTATTTATTTTATAACTTTTCAATAAATTATGAGTAATATTTCTATTTTACATTTTATCGTAGTCTTTTTATTATATGATTATTAATCAGTTTATATTTATATCAAAGATTGCATTTTTGATTTTATAAACATTATTGTCGATATTATATTAAATAGACAAAACAAACACGTAACTGTTGCTTTCTTTTTTGGTTTATTATGAAAAAATTGTATATTATAATAATATATTATATAGTGCAAATATGGTAGGTATATCATACTTTTCTCTCAATATAATACTTAAATATATGCCATCTGTATCTGCTCTATCTAAAGTATCTTCAAGTAATAGTGATTGCAAGCGTGAGATTGAATCATTTGCAGCGTTGTTCGCATGAAATTGCACATTTGAAGACGAAACAAAATTCTTGTTCCATCGAGATCGATCGTTAACCGACATTGTTACCCAACTGTCAGGATAATCTGCGATGGGAATCACTGTGATAGATACAAAGAAGCGGGCTCGCGTGTGTCCAGAGGCGGCTAGGGCAGGTGCGACTTTCAGAGGAATAATTAATATTCAGCGAAGAAAAAGTGGGCGAGAAAGGTTCGACGATGGCTTCCTCTTACAAACAGTTGACGCGTTAGCGACTGAGGTGCGCACCGCTTGTTGGCCGCGCACCTGGTACCATCGTATAAAGAAGAGAAAAGGAAAGGAAGGAATATCTTCTCACCAATTATGCCTATTACGATCGGACATTTGATTGCCGTGATCACCTAAACCCAAGACCGCTTACCTTAATTCGAAAATTATGCGCTCGCCCATACATCGGCGGTGAAATGATACAGCGTGAAGGGCCTGCGTGCATTTTCGGTATTAATATCAAGAGTGTCTCTTCACCTTCCGGTGCGTGCATCAACTAATTTACGTTGATCGTGCAGCAGTTCGCGCCCTGTAAAAGACACCCTTGATTCTCCCTTATTATAAAATCTACATTTGTACACGTGTCCGGAAATTTTGTAATTGCCATCGAGCATTAATTGGCGTTTCATCTAAAATTTGCAGTAAATTCTATCGTTAAAAATTTTTATCATATTTTATTTACAAATTTAGAATTTTCACACTGAGAGAAATGTTTTGCATGAATAATAATTTAGTTGATAAGTGAATTACAAAAACTTTCATTTTTTAATTTAAAAAATATATTGTTTTAATCAAAATTTGGTTATTTTAATCAAATTTTGATTGGAACATACAATTTTTTAATTAAAAAATAAGAAAATTTTTGTAATTTACATATCAATCAGATTATGGTTATTTATAAAATATAAAATATTTTTCTCTAATAGTATATAGTATTAAATATCACGAACTAAAGTTCTGTAAAAATAAATGAAGAATATAAGATTTTATCATAATCCGTTTTTTTAAACTTAATTTTCGACGATATCTAAAATGTCAAGTCCATGAAACACTAATAACCATCTACGCGAGTATCATAGTATGCTTCAAAGTGTCCTTTTATTAAGAAACAGGTTTACGAAACCCGCCATCGCAATTCCCGCATCGTCATCCCCCAATGATATCATTATCGATAATCTAAATAAAAAACAGATGATCGGCCCCTTGTCAACAGAGGTATCGTCCGATCGTGCCGCGCCAGGAATTGCAGCTGCAGAAAACGAGGAAAACTTGTGATCAGATAAGAGTAAAAGCAGAGGGCGGTATGAGGGAATTAGAGAGAGGGAGATAAAGAACGTTCGTAGAGGAACGGAGAAGTACAAATTACGAGCACCCGGAACCGTTCTTGTGGCCGTGTTAACTTTCGTCGCGTGCCTTCAGGAAATACCTCAACTTTTGTAGCCACGTGCTATCATTGGGGTATTATAAACTTTCCATCGTTCACCTTTGTCCTCCGCCTGCCTTCGTCCATCGTTACGCGCGTCCGCGATGAAGTTTACAAATTATCTATATAATCGACTTCTCGTAAATGAAGCATTTTTATCATTGAAGACATTTTTTTAACAAAAGCTTTTGATAAATATTCATTCTACAACTAATATCTCATTACATCTTTATTAATATGTCTGATTTATTAACTTTCCAAATTTCTCGAAGTGAAATCTCGCTCCAAGAGAGTGAAAATTGTCACTCGTTTTCCAACTCGTACTCCAAAAAAATAAAAGAAATTTTACTCTGAAAAGATGAACATCTTGTCCAAGAGTGAAATATGTTCATTTTTGTTTTAAGTCTGCTTAATTTTTATTTTAAAAGATTTAGGCTGGGTTGTTCTACCTTTCGATAAACTTTAATTTATTATCTTACTCTTTTGATTATCCAATAGGTAAATTACCAACCGACTCTTAAAGAGTAAATAAAATAAATGCGAAAATATACAGAAGTACTTGTCTGATGACACTTATACGTAAATTTACAGCATTACTTAATCTTCATAAAAGTGAACAGAAAAATTTACTTGATTTTATAACGCAATGCTTATACACTAATATAATCATACTTTTCAATTTTTAGATACGAATCCGTGGATCGGCTTTTTCAAGAAGTAACGAGCGTTTACAGAGATTCCGAAATCGATTGGATGCTAGTGTACAATGCAGGTTGCACTATAGATGATACAGTTCTACCCGAGCATGTGACAGAACCCAACGATCTCGATCGCTTGATTAATGGAACATTCAGATTGTTTTTAGCAGCTCTTCCTACGCCTCCAACAATCGTCACCATAGCCAGGTAGATCACTTCCCAATATACAATTTTTTCTTATTAGAAATTTATAAAAAATTTAGTTAGAAATTCAAAAATTTACCGAATAAATTACATTTGTTTTTATGACGAAATTATATAGGATAATTAGAAAATATACAAAAATAGTATAACAAAAAAGTATATAATATATATTTAAATATCTTTAATGAATTTTTTTTATTGATCGATCTTGTCTATTATCTAACGATTTAGAATGATACTTTTTTTACAAAAGTGTCTCTCATTATACAAATATTTTTAAATGTGAAATGAATTTAATTCTATGTAAATTTTTGTAGTTTCTTCATATATACACTATGGAACTACTGTGATAAGGTTGAATTAATGTATGTGTATGTATATTTGAAATTATATATCTCACAATTATATATTAAAATACAACATGCGCTTGTTAGTAATATAAGCCGAAAATAATTGCATATATGAGGTTTGTTACACAATAGAGTCAACTTTGTTACAAAATAAAGTTACAATTTGTAAGTCGTAAGAAATTGACCAATTACATTTGAATATGACAAAAATAAACGATTATGATCGGTTAGTTTCTTACGGCTTACAATTGCGACTCTATTGTGTAATAGAGGCCTGATAAGTTAGCAGATGCAGTTGAGTGTGCAAGAATCACTTTGTGATAAGAGTTATGTATCTCTTAAAGGTGAAGTACCAAAATTAGCGGTAAATAACGTCTCATGGATATACCGACAATTAAAAAAGTTCAGGTTATACAAATTGGCTTTAATTTATGGTTCGAAATGACTGAAATTATATTGTCCCGCATTTGTACGCATGCAAAACCGAAGTCTGCAATGCCGCAGATGGCGTGGAAGAAGATGCTGGGAGGGTACGAAATAGAGAGAAGAAGGGCGGCTTATATAGGGAAGACATAGCGGGGCTGTCCGAGGGGTGGTTTCAGGATCGTGGGTATACCGTTAAGCCCCACCCTCCAGATAGGCAGGGATGGGTTTCATGTAGGGGTATACAAAATCAAACCATCAAACTTTAGTGTTTCATAGGTAGATGTCTCTACCTCCAATTTCCTGAAGTAAATGCTATATATTTCTTCCTTCTAGTATTGTTTCGTCATCACTTTTTTAAACATTACGGTGACAATATTCTGTTGAACTTGAAAAATTATTTATTGAATATTAATATGATTTTATTATAAACAACATTTTTTAATACATGAATTTATTTATTATAATAATATTATAATAGCATCTATAATATTCTTTTTTATATTAGGTAATCAATATATATTTATTAGAAGATGTTATTTAATTAGTATGCACAACTTATAGATTTATCGGTACAATGTGTATGATCGTATAAATATGCTCATATTTATGAGGATTTTATGTCAATTGATATCAACAATTTTTTTTAATTCTAATGGAACTTAAAAAATTTTATTATCTATATTTCCTAGATAATATAATAAAGCAGAATACTAACAATGACAGTTAATAATGCAAAAGGAAATATGTATATTTTATCGAAGAATATATTATTTTTTATGTCTTATACTATCTTTTTGAAATAATATTTTTCTAATAGTATTTAATATGAACATGTTTTGAATTACAAATAATGTGATAAATGTACTTCTATCTGAATATAGTTATCATTACATACACTGATGTGAGAAACTACTAAATCTTAATAATATTGTTTCAAATAGTACTAATTAAGCGTTCATTATTTGTTGTTTATTTCTAATAAATAAATATTTACTCAATTAATAATTATAGTAAATCAAATTAATATTTCTTGTACTTAAAATAAATATATATTTACATTTAGCAAATATTTAGGTAGTATTCTCTCTCTCTATTCAAACAAATATGTACTTATTAAAATTTAGTACATTTTGTTAGTATATAAGTAAAATAACTTTAAAATAAGTGACTTGGCGCCATCTGGCATCGAAAGTACGGAGATACTGTTTAAACTTCTGGTATAAGTTGAAAAAAATCGATTTCATCCCACTCGACTTGCTTCCACCCTTCGCTATTTCCAACTCCCATTTCAGCACATTAGTTTCCGGGGGAGATGCGGAAACACCGGATATCGTCTCTGGACAGTTTGTAGTTTCACTCGTAGTTTGCCAAACGGTGATTAAACAATCACCAACAAAAATTGACAGAGGATGAGAGCAAATAGAAGAAACATTGTATCAGCGGAAAAGTGAAAATAGCGAAAGTAGAAGAACGGAGAAAAGTGAAAGCAGGAATAGAGTACAATTCTTTTAATGATCTACTTTTATGTTTTTAAACTTACTTTTATGCTTTTCTTTTCCTCTTTTTTATCTTACGTTCTCTTTATAGAAATGATATACTAACAAATTTAATATTGACAATGTGTTATTGGAAGACATAATTAATTACTTATTAGGAGCATTAAAAGTACTGAACAATAGTAATTTTAATACTTAAAATAAATCATTAATTACTGTTTTTCATTATTAAATGGGCCAGTATTAGAATTCTATAATAATCTTGTTAATTAATATTACTCTTAAGTACTTTTACCTTTGATAGATACAAATTTTTACTTTCCTTTAATATTAATTTGCTTCAATAAATCTTCACTAAAGAATTAATTCATATTATGAAAAAACAATTTGAATAATATATAATATATAATAGAAGAACGAAAAATTATTTTGAGGTAGTTTTGCCTAATGAGATATTATAATAATATTATCATACACAAGGTTAAATATTTTATTAAAGTCTCTAAGGATATAAGTAGAAAGAATAGAAATAAATAGCTATGTTTTTTATAAACTATGTTTATTATTAAATAATTTTTTATTGCAGATCTAGTGAGGATGATTATACTCCTCTTGAAAATGTTGACCAAATTCAAGTTGACGTTCTCGACCAACTTCGTGAACGACTGGGATCGGAAATAGATATCAAACTGACTTATCAAGACGAAGAACAACTGTAATTTTAAAAAAAGTAATCTTTTATATTCTTTCCTTTTATCCTTTGTCCTTTTTATGGTTTGTCAAATAAAATAATAAGTATAATAATTATATCTATTTTGTGTGTAATTTCACTTGTACGCATAACTGCGTGAGGCAGACTAATATTGGCCATTGATTTTGTAATTACAATTATTTGTGAAATAAAAACATAAGCAAACATATTTTCTTTTATAAATTAAATTTAAAAAATATATAAGTCTTTCTAGTTCTCCATGTATTTTTTTCATAGAATTATTCAATAAATTAGCATATACAGTAAATAAATACAAACAGAGCGTAAAACAAGATTAACTGCGACAGAAATCTTTACTAGATTAAAATTAAATTAATACTGATTAACAATTTTAAATAATACACAATATTATAATATATTTAATATCATTTGAATTTCTCTCACATGTACAGTCGTCCTTCATAGATTATGATATTTTAGACAGTTATCTGAAGCATCACGAACCTCTCACAGATTTGTAGAACGTAAAGCAAACATGACCAAGAAGGGATATGGCGAGTTTTTGATCGCGCTGTGGCGATTTACATAAGATCAGCATCACTGGTCCACTGTGAGACACGAGCACAATGCCAATATGAAGGTTGCCGCTTTTTTTTGGCAGCGAAAGTAGCCCCCTACCCTCTTTGCTGATCTTCGTTCCACGAGTCTCAGATTTGCATACCTTGGGTCCGTTTCCCACACGTCTCAACAGCTTTCATCTCGGTCTCTCTCGCTGAGCGTCACTCGCTCTTTCTCGCCCTTCCGTCCTCCCTCCCTCTCTCTCTCTCCTTCCGACGTTCTACGCAACCCTTTCAGCTGCCGATGAAGACAAAAACGCGGGACTGCCCAAAAAAAAAAAAAAACGAACGTCTTCCTTCTCCCACGATCATGACGTTTCCTGAGGCTGTTTTCAAGACGTGTCTATTGTGGACACGACACACAACGAGCTACGGAGTAGTCGCGGATATGTTCTTTTTTGCATATGCCAGTTTTAAACGATTGAAGGAAGCGGAAAACGCGAGCACCCGTACAGCCCGTTTAGTTTAGGTTTTTATTAAACGTGTGTGTGTGTGTGTGTGTGTGTGTGTGTGTGTGTGTTTCAATATTATTGACACTAATGAGTAATATTAGTACCCTATTTTATATATTAATTAATTGATCTACAAATTTAAGCTTTATTTCTTCATAATAAATACAACCTTACATAAAAATAGAATTAAAAGAAAAACGTACATAAATGTAAAATTAGGAAGATAAATGTTTTTCAAACTACTTAATAACTCTATGTTTTAAATTTAATTTATTTCCTGAGAGATAAATTAAAAAATACCAAATTTTCCGAGAACAATGAACACTTTGTGCTTAGGTGTTGATTTAGCCGGACGACGAACTATATCGTCGGAATTGAACATGGAGCGGACAAGGTAAATGCGGAAGTGCGGTCGCGCGACTAAGGGGCGAACATTAAAGAACAACCGCAGGGAAAGAGGAAAGAGAGTTTACGAGTCGCCAGCCTCCCAAGTAATGATTGTCGTTAACCACCGCGCGCCGTACGGGCCGCTCGCTCGGCCTGCAGTCGAGACTTTTGTATGCTAATGACAGGGTGGTCCGATTTCGCTCTACGACCGAGTAAAAAATCTTGGGGGTCAACAGACCCATCGTTAGCCCAAGTTTTAAGTCTCCCTCGAGCGTCATTGACCTCGAATTAAAAAACGGGTGCGACCTTCCATTCTGCCGACTCTGTCCCGCCCGGAAATTTTACAACAAGACCTTCGTTTCGTAATATAACACCTCCACTTATTTACTTTTACCTCTTAGACTTCGTCTCGCGGATACACGATCATTTCAGATGAATTTTATTAAGTGAGAAAACAAAACACAGCCAATTAAGACTTTTTCAAATTTCTCTTACCTTTAAAAATATATATCTCTTCTTCTTTTTCCTCTTTTTCTCAAAAAATTATACCTTTATGATTATTTCCTTAATCAAGAGACATATACTTTTTATGGATAGATAAATTTATTCAATCCTAGGAAACATAATTTCCCCCTCTTCTTTAAACACAAAGAATTATATGTATCATTTAATACAGATTAAAAAAATCATTTAACAAAGTGTTAAAATTTTCAAAACACTGGTATGACGCGATGAGATAATATTATAGAATAAATTAATTAGAAATTCTTATTATAATACTTTTGTCATCCAAATTACAACGAATGTAAATATTGTTCTAAAGCACGTAGACTCTCTTTATAATTCACAATTTTCTCTTCTCTCTCACGGTCGTTCGCATTTCATTCATCCAGGTGACACCGTGTCAGTGGGTTCTAAGGGAATTATTCAAAACCAGCCCTGACTGGCAAAAGTGCAGCCGCCCTGGAACTGTAATCCCATACCCGTATCTAATCTGCATAAAAGAGAAGAAAAAACGTAGCATAGGAAAAAAAACAAAAGCGCGAAAGAATTCCCCCGATAGGCTTTGCGAAATAAATTAATATAAAACAAAACTGCTGCACTGACACTAAAAGCTCTGTTGTAAGATAACGAATAAACAAAACTGTTAGATTTTTTTTGGGTTATTAAAAAAAATTTGTAATGAATCAAAACTTCTGTAACTTTTTATATACGCTTTTATACTTTTGACATTATTTTTAATCATTGCCATTATTTTAAGTTTGAAATTAGTTATAAATAATTACACATATTTAATTACTTTTCGGCTTTTATTGGTTTCTTTTTCTTATTATCTATCTTGTAATATTTTCATTAGAATTTGCTGTGTTTATCAATTTTATAGTAATATTCAAGTATCTAGCACACAAAACTTGATAATTATGTATCGCAAAAAAGCGAACTATTCGAATTCGTATAATTAGCAGCGGTCGCGGATGTCAATTAAAAAATCTTGATGACATTCGGCATTTCCCGCGAAGTTGAAATAGTGGCTCGACCCAGCATCCCTTCGAGGAACATACTTACCGATTATGCGCGTGACGAAAGAGATCTTCAGGCGAATATGCTAATGCGCGCGACGGCATAATGCGAGGCCGATACGCCGAGGCAAAGCCAATTATGGCACGGGGACCCATCATGCCTGATACTCCGTTTTACACGTGGGTCGTCCACGAGAAATCTCTTTCCATCCCTGTCTCTCTCGACACGGTCTCCGCAAACGTAAAACGGCGAACGAGACGAGAGGAGGCATACGAGAAGAGAGGGCCGCATAGACAACGCCATAGGCGGAGGCCTGCACCGTTGGCCATTGTTCGAAAGCGCTATTTGTATTTATTTGGGCCCTTTGTTCGAGCCTCGAGAGATTCATGAGGCAGAAGGTGGGGCGAGAGCGGCCAAAGAGAAAGAGAGACGAGAGAATTTATTCGGAGAACGAGGCAAAGGGTGAGAGAGGTCCACTAGTTGTTACGGGACTACTCTACGTTTCGGTTGAAAAAAAGCACGCCGTGGAAAGCTTTAACCCGAATCATCAGTGCATTTACACGACGAACGCACGAATTTGCTAGTAGAATTAACTGGTAACCGCGAGTAGCGAGTCACTCTACACTGATCTTTTTTTTATTAACTTAGCACGCAGCACGTAGCATTTTTAGAATATGTGATTTGGTTACATTCTTATTGCTTCACTGACGAATACAGGATGTTTTGCAATTATTATCGTCTTTATCGGCGTACATTTTGAAAAAGTTGGCAAATTGGTCAAAGAGCTTTGTGCATGCATGAAAGAAGTTGCGATAAAAGCAGGCGATAATTTTGAGACATTGTGAGATAAAAACAACACGATATAAAGTTTTAAAAATGCAAGTAGACCAAGTCACAAAATATTTGTCTTGTGAAGAACTAAGGTAAAGTTATCGCAATGTATTGCGAAGATTGCAAATATGATAAAAGTAAAACAGTAATTAATCATGTGTAGAGACCAAAGTTCGTGTTAAAAGCAACACTTCCAATTTACTTTTGGTATCCATATCAGAACAAGCAGTTTTATCGAAACCTTAGATTTGATTTGCGTGTTTAATATTTTTAAATATACTTTTACTGTTAAAATGTTGAAATTAGTTATGTTAATGACATATTATTTTACAATTTTTTTCAACTCGCGATAATTTTTCTTTGTTTTGGTCAATTTTCGAAAATGTAAGGTTCACGCGTAGTTGAAGGTGGGCCGACCGAATTCGAACATCCAATTGCGAAAATGCGTTCGTCCCGTCGGTGGGGAAACTTCGCGTGCTTGTTGATGCAGTGTGTGATGAGATGGCCCAGTGTATATGTGTATGTGTGTGTGTGAATGCATCTCGTGCAGTGGATGCAACTGCGAGTGGTCAGTAGCTCGCAAACCGAGTGACCGCTCTCTCTCGCTGTGTTCAGACGTGAAAGTGGCGTGCGAGGGGGAAAAAAAAACAGAGCCAGTTTTCGCCGCATAGTGAACTTTTTTAATTGCATTTCGCGCTCGAAATGCTCCTCGAGTAAAAATTCATCAGAGACAGATGGACCTTTTCGGACATACAGATGCCGTGAAAATGGCAAATTTACGTGAGCTGTAAACGAGGCGTGTCATGATAGACATATATAACGAAACAAGTATAACATTGCATTGGTGAGATTAACTTACGAGAAAATTGATACTATCATAATGTGATCGTTGTGCGTTAAGTCGAATAAAATATGTGAAATATTTAAATCCTATATTTGTTTAATACTTTAGAAATTGAATGAAAAAAAGTACTGAAATTTTCATGTTTAATTTATTCGAAAGTATCTATACGTTACACATTGTATATTTATATAATAAAAGACAATTTTTATTACAATTTATATAATGATATTATATTATAAGCGTACACTGTTTTCCTACATTGTTTTCAATTTTAATTGATTTTGCGATAAGAAATAAGTAGGGTTAAATCATTACTTTCATATCGCAGTGTTAAATTTCCCAAAAAATAATTCTTTATGTACAGCAGAATGCGGATGTAAATTAATTTTTGGAGTGGAAAATACTCGCGATGCACAGGACAACATAAGGCACCGTGACAGTTTTCTCGTGGACAGACTAAGAAAGGAACAGAAGTTATGCCATAAG